AAAGAGAGAGATTCATACCCTTGATAGGTAAATGATTCTAAGAGGACTTCGAAATTAGGTCGGCGAGAGTAAAAGGGCCCTTACCGATGTAGTCCTCTGGCCTTGTAAAAGTAAAGCAGTATGGGCCTTGTAAAAGTAAAGCAACATGGAAGGGTATCTCGCCAGGGCTCAAAAACGTGAAAGCAGGTCAAAAGTCAGGTTCTMTATCAACGGGCACATCCAAATCTAAAGCAAAGGGGCATTGTCAAGAGACTTACCTGTTCACTCGAAGATGTGCATGTCATGTCTGTTTGGGTAAGGGTGTGTCTGTACGTRCAGACARTGTACGTGTTCGTGCAAATAAGAKTGTCTGTTCAGGCAGTAAGTGTGTCTGTTCGTCTAGARTTGTGTCTGTCCGAAAGTAAAGTCTAAAGGTAAAGTCCCAGTTCTGGTCTAAGTCCAGGGGACAGTCCAGATCCAGACTTTCAAGTCCAAATCTAGGCCGAAGTGCCTCAGCAGCAGTTGAACCTCATTGGGACTATACTGGGACACATGCAATGCAGGGTCTGGGACAAAGGAAAGGGTGAATTGAGCCAATGCAGACCCAGCGAGGAGTGGCCAGCACTATAAAGGAAGCTGCCAGCCTCATTCCTCGCCAGATCTCCACTGGCTGTTTCTGCGTGGAAGTGTTGGAGCACTTGTGCGCTAAGTCAGTAGGAGCAGCGCTGGAGGAAGGAGATGCGCTGAGTGAGGGAAGAAGCCTGTACGCTGGAAGGGATGCAGCCATAGCTGCCCAGCGAGTAGACTTAGAGGGTTAGTAGTAGTCAGCTATGAGTAGTATTCAGAGTAGATCCTCATGAGAGAAGAGTGTGTATGCATCATAGGAAGAAGGGACTGAGGCAGAGAGTGTTCATTCAAGGTTTGGCTATGGAAGATACTTACCTGAGTTGAATGTGAACTGCAGAGGTGGCGCTGATGAGTAGTGACCACATTGATGACATGGAGACAATCTGCAGATGTAGCGCTGATGCATTGGGAGCCATRTTGATGAGTTGACAAGAGATTTGTGTTGCGCTGATGAGCGCTGGACTCAGGGGAACTTTGAAACACTTTGTAATCATATTTTTGATAATATAAGCTTGKAAACTCGGTTCTCTTCTCATCTACCTTTGTCTATTGTGTGGGACTACTGATCATTGTGTGCGAGTATGATGCATGACATGTACACACTTGCGTGAGATGGTCCCCAGGACCCATGCAAAAGACCCCGCCTTCAGAAAAATAAAACAAACTTCTCGGGTGTTTTTCGGTCCGCCCAGTTTGCCCGGGCGGACCCCCCGGGTATGCCCGGCCGGGCGCCGTCCTCACCCAGGTTTTCTTTTTTTTTTTTTTGGTTTTTTGCGCTCTCCCAGAGAACTCCAAATCCGTGCTCATTTCGATTTTTGCGAGTTGGCTGTCAAGGGGGGGRGGGGGGTAAATATTGGTTTTAAAGGGGCTGAAGGGGTCTAAAGGGGGGTGCCTTTGTGTGATTCTGTTAATTTTTTTTTATCTCCGATTCTGTGAGCAATTATAATGTGACCCTCAGCCAAAAGTCGTTTCGATTTCAATCCTACACAACATATTTGTTTTCCGGAATTGTTTGAGGTTTTTTTTTTTTTTTTTTTGGCATTGGGGCTGCCCGAAACCCTACCCGGGGGTCATGCCCGGCCGGGCACCGGGGCGTGTACCCGGGCAGAAGTTGGGTGCCCGGGCGCCCGGGAAAACAGCCTAGGTAATTTGTATCTTTTTTGTATTGGATAAGATAACACCTGTAATCAAAATACAAACTCCTCCATGTGACAAAATCATATTCATTGGTGCAGCCCAACCCGTAAGGGTCATGTGGACTTGACGTCATCCCCACCTTCCTCCAGTATATCACTGACAGTTTTTTGTGGGTGCAACACATCGTTGCGATGTCTTAGCAACACAAAACGACGGTTGCGCTCGTTATAGGACTTAACCCAACATCTCACGACACGAGCTGACAACAGCCATGCAACACCTGTATGAAGTCAAAGTATATCTCTTACGAGGAGTTTCTTTCATATGTCAAGGGCTGGTAAGGTGTAGTCTTAAATTAGAACTTGCACAATATCGTGAAGTAGCTGCTTTTGCTCAATTTGGCTCAACTCTTGATGCTGCCACTCAATATTTATTAAACTGCGGCACGAGACTTACAGAAGTGTTGAAACAACCACAACATAGTCCAATCTCAATTGAAAAGCAAGTTGTTGAAACAACCACAACATAGTCCAATCTCAATTGAAAAGCAAGTTGTTGTTATTTATGCGGCTGTCAAAGGTTATTTAGATCAAATTCAGATTTCTCAAATTCTTAAATATGAACAAGAGTTGTTGAAATCAATTGATCCAAGTTTGATTTCTGCTATTGCACAACAAAAACAATCACTGAATAAATCGATAGTTAACTGGCTAACTTTTGTCAAAATTTTACTCCGAGTTTCTTAGCAACTCACTCAGGTTAATTCACCAATTTTCTATATCTTTGTGACTGTTTCGGGTGGGGTAGCGTTGAAAAACAAACCCCACCAGGGGAAATGTCAAGTGGTTCAAGGCAGAATAGTTTAGTAGGTTAGAACAATGGAATCATAATTCGCATGTCGGGGGTTCGAATCCCTCTTCCGCCAGTCGTCTATCTATGCTTTCTTCAAGCTTATATATATATTAGTACGATACACTTGAATTCTCCAATTATTGAATTGAATTGATTGAAAGGTCTGTTTTGATTATCATGTTTCTTGGGTGTCTAATAATAAATTAGACTTGAAAACAAGGGAGTGAAGCAATGAGTACGAGTTCTCAAAAATTATGGCTACAGGACCTTCGTGCGACTCTAAAAAAGTATGGTTAAGCAGCACTTTGGGACACTCAAGAGTACAGTGACCACCTCCGCACCAGACCGCATGACTGTACAAAATGCAGTTAAGCAACAGAAGGACGGCAAAGCACCAATGCGACCATATAGAGCTGAGCCCTGCTGGGACTTGGATGGGACTTCGCCGGCACCGGTATGGGACTCCGCAGAGTATGGCAAAAAGACAAAGCGAACTGTGGGCAAGCATCTCTTGCGGGGCTGCACAGCGTACCGCTAAGCAGCAATTTGAAGAATGACTAAGTACTAGAAAGCATCTACCTACCGAGGAGTCAGCAGACTTTGTTGCTTACTAGGTGGGTGCTTTCTAGTAGTAGTACTTAGTCAGACGGTTCAGCTCACGTTGGTAGCTGCACACTGGATACTGACCACTGTAACCAGCAGACTATGCCATTGGTTAAGCATCTGCATGACACTTAAAGTTTGTAGAGCATGGCTGAGTGCCAGTTTCGCCCAGTGATGTAGGCCCATGATTAGCCTGGGCAATGGGCCCTGGGTGGATGCCCAGCAACACTTTGAAATTCTCTAACAATTCGCATCCGGGCGGTTCCGCTCTCATTCATTTATAGAACCACTTGCACCATTCCTTACAGCTAAAAGAGCATCCTCTGCCTAGTAGACAAAAAGAATTTGAATTTCGAAGGCATTATGGCAGCAGCAGCTCTATTGTAGTGTCAATTTTCAGTGCATTATGCTCAACCGTGTTAATATACCCCGGGTCACCTCTCCGCGGCGGAGTTGCGGACACGGAAGTAAACAAATATATAATATAAACATTAGATCAATAACCATGGTAACCCCGGACCCGGACACAGGACACTTCCGGACTGTCTTCCGGACCAGTGTCTGGACCGGTCCGGACTGTCCGGT